ATGGTGCGATGGCCTCAGTGGGGGAAGGGGAATAAGGAAAGGAACGGTGTTCACAAACGGGCGGTCGACGCCAGTCAAGAGCACAAAACTCCCATAGTTAGGACAGTGTCTTTTTAGTAAGCGCTCCGTTCTTCGCAGTACCCAGTCCTGAAGGTTGCAGATGGGTGGATCGAGGAGCTCGATCCTGTCGGCTTGCAATCCGAGAAGTGCTGGATCGTTGGATTGACGTCAGCAGAGCATTTACTGGTGTTCCTCGTCCGCCGGCGCTTCGTTTGGTAAATGGCCTCTCTGCCGCTTGTAGTTACGCCATCTAGCGAGTGCGTCCTCCGCAAGAGAAGCTCCAGTGTGGGCTTTGTGTATCAGCACTTGGCCGCTCTCGGTAGACCCTTAGGTAACGGTTCGAGGTTGGGAAGTATCAGCTTCCTCGCACTGTCGCTTGAGCCACGCTCTGTAGTTTTGGAATATAGAAATGCTTTCGCGTGTAGGAATGCTCTCGCATTCCTACGCGTAAGCGCACTCTAAAAAAAAGGGTATATCCTTACACCCCTTGTCCGATATACGGCACCCCAAAACTTCAGCTCGATGTAAAGCGGACTGACGTCGAGGTAAAGTTTTAGGGTTTCATATGTGGGGCAAGGGGTGTAAGAATATACCCCTTTTTTTCTGAGAGTTGCAGTCTTAGGATTTCTCCTGTAAATATTGTTTCTTGACATGTCACATAAGTCACACATTCTTCCTACACTTTTTTTGTTTGTTTCTCTGGATCCGTTTTTTTTTTTTTTTTTTTTTTTTTCCTCTTTGAATTAGACGATTCTATTCCGAGAACAGAGAGGCGTCTCTCGGCGTCCCAAACAATCAGTGTTTCTCTAAGTATGTGTGATAACCCACGTTGCACCCCAACACAAAACACCACCGCTCCGTTTTATTCTTCCCCGTATTTTACATCGCTTTGAGTCCCTTGTCTCTTCGGCACACTAAGCAGCCACACAATACTGTATCGCTTCAGACAAACCAAGAAGAAATAGTCACACAAACACGCCCCAAGCCAGCCCCGCTAAACGCGCTGCCCGACCGGTCGTCTGGCATCGCGGTGCTGTGACTGGCAGCGCCACGCCAGGCCACCGCGGCAGGATTGGACCACACGACACACAGCTATGGTGTAGCAGAACTCCTATGAAGAGGCCGCCACGCTCGGCACACCTCCCAGTTTTAGTACACCCTACTTTAGCTAAGACGGCTAAGACTATGTGGACGAAAATCCACCAAGCCTGGGGACTGCGAGGTCTTGACTCTTGAGTCGATTTCACGTACCACTCTACTCGTGCGCCAGCTTTGCATGCAAGCACGTGCAGCGTGCGCGTGAACGTAGCTTTGACAAGCTTGCAATTGCACGGGCGTGCCCGCACGAGCAGAAGTATGGCGGCGGCCTGTCGCCCTGCTTGTAATTGTGTATATGCTTCGTCTCTTTTCTGAGTAGATTAGTAACTTTCAATTACATTTTTATTTCGGTAATTAGCAGTTTACAAATTACTCTCTCTGAGTAATTTCTACTCGAATTACAAATTACTTTCGAATTTTAGTGGGTGTTTTGCCTATCAACAAACACTCCTGCACAACAAAAAATAAGATGTTGGAAGATCAGCTGATATTTGCAAAGAGGGGGAAGCATGTGGCGAGGGAAGGGAGGGGGGGGAGAAAGAAAATGCTTTGGTGAGTCTGAAACCCCCCCCAAATTTTTTAACCCCCCCCCCCCCCCCCCTTGCAATAAAACTGCTACGAGGCGCGGGGAGCGAACAGATACGGCGCAAGAAAGGCCGAGTAACTGCGGGATAAGCGCCGAAGACTGGCGTTTCTTTGCCCCGAGGCTCAAGGAGACTTGACCCATTTGAAGAAAGGACAGGTCCCCGCTTCCCCCCAACGTAGAAACCCTCGCCTACTAGGGGAGGTGCACACACTGCATCCTCACTCAAAAAAGGCAACGAAATGCAGCACCCGCTCTGAAGCTCATCTGAGCATCGTACCGGCGTGCGGTCCGGTGTATCTCTCTACTGCGTGATGCACGTAGAAGACTCCAAGCTGGCAGTTGTACTGCACTGGCTAAATTTCTCATCTACAGCTGGGAGACTCGTCGCCCGTTGAGGCAGACCAAGTTCTAGGCTATATAAAATTACTCACGACCTCAATATTTTATACACGACCGCCACGGAGGTACGATAATTATCCAGATCGAAACGTGCAAGGGTGGAAATTGAACCTATGATCCTGGGTTCTGCAGCGCGAGCTTTCGCTCTACGTGCTCCGAGCTGGTGAGCGCTAAAACCACTAAATAATTCAAAAGTGCAACCTCTTTAGCATTATATTAGGTGTTAGGGAAGCTCATGTAATATTGCTTTGCTTTGTCTCAATCTGTTTAAATATTTGTGGAGGACGGAAAAGTGTTTCCTGTCATTTCAGATAAAGCTTCAGGTAACTGGCAACCATGATTATAAGCCACAATATGGCCAAGTGTCGTTACTCTGAAGCGTAGCTTATTTAGTAGCACTAGTGTGCGCTAGCCCACTCGGCCACCGATCCCCCTCTCTGTTCAACCCTGCACGATCGTAGCGTGCTTACGAGCTACGCTTGTAGCGCATGCAAGCGTTTGACTACGCGCGCTAACATAGTATACAAAAAAAGATAGAATCATGAAAAGTCTGGCCTTCAGAGCCTTTATCAGGCCTTTCGCTGGGAGTCTGCTGAACTCTATACCCGTTTTCACCTTAAATAATAATAATTGGGGTTGCGGGGATACTTATACAGCGTGTAGTTGGTCTGCCATTAAAGTTGCGACGAGTCACACGCTGTAGATGAGCAATTTAGCCAGTGCAGTACAACCGCTAGCCTGGGGTCTTTAACGTGCACCACGCAGTAGTGATACACGACCGCACGCCGGTACGATGCTCATCCAGATCGAAACGGGCAGGGGTGGGGCTCGAACCCAGGATCCCTGGGTTCTGCAGCGCGAGCTTTCGCTCCACGCGCGTCGAGCTGGGTGTGCGCTTCAGCCCACTCGGCCACCGATCCCCCCCCTTTTCACCTTAAGTAAAAAGTGGGTGTGTCCCTCTCGTCGCATGCTTATTGGTCGCATGCCGTCGCACATATTATTCCGTTCTGCGAAGTAGTTCCGACAAAAGTTTGCTCTCTGAGATGCTAGCGTTATTTAAGCTTAGATAAATTTGTTATTCTCAATAGAATAAATAATACACCTCCTTAGTATACGCGTGTATTCACGTAATTCAACGCCTCACAAGATCTGAGGATCGATGTTCGTAGCAAGCGCATTGCTACGAACACGGAAAGTGGGAGCAAGGTGATCTTTCCCAATCTATCGACACGCAGATAGTCCAATATGCTGACGACATCACTCTGCTTGCACGAACTACACCTCGCGCAAGCTGTCCCAACCTTCAGCGGAACCTGTCTATAGTGCAGCAGTGGTCCGTCTCAAACTGCCTTCTTCTTAACCCATCCAAGTGTGCAGTCATGCGGGTCAGTCACAGCCGCAGCTCAGGAGCCCCTTTGTACACCGTGTCTGCAACACCTCTTACATCGGTCACACCATTACCAATTCTGGGTGTGACGTTTACCCCTAACTTAACATTCTCTCTGCACGTTGCCAATGCTGTTGCCAAAGCCCGACGTCTTTTGGGATTCGTGACACGAGTTTCCAAAGCGTGCGGTCCTACCACCTTCCGTGTACTATACACCGCGCTCGTTCTTCCGCATCTCGAGTACTGTAGTGCGGTGTGGTGCCCACATCAAACTAATTTGGTTGACAGCCTGGAAAGCGTGCAGCGGCGTGCTACTCGCACATACTTTACTCGCCAACACAATCCTGCGTTGCCCTACGCCAGTCGGCTTAAGGATCTCAAATGGCATTCCCTGGCTCATCGAAGAAGAGTCGCCAGGGTGGGCCTTACCTGCCGACTTCTCGACGGCTCGCTCAAAGGGACGTACCTTGCGACCATCCCAAGGATTAACAAGAGATCGGGACAGCCTGAACTTATTCGAGCGCGTACCAAACACCACAGTTCCTCGCCGATCTTAGCCGGCATCGAGGACTTCATCTCGGCCCCGCTCAGGATACGTTCGCCGCTTCCCCAGGACCGTACTGAATCTGTGTCGATGTGTCGCTTGTTTTCAAAGCACCTACAGCAGCAGGCGTCATAACAGTGGTGTAGTGTAGTGTGTGTTTGTGTGTGTGAGTCAACTTACTCTCTACATTTCACCCTCATTTTTCTTTTAAAACATTTTGGGTTACGGCCCTGTGTACAAATTTGGTATACGTGTGCGTGTGTTTTTTTTGTTTTTTTTTATCACATCCTGGGTGGCGGGCTGGCAGGCGCACTCGCGTACCGGTTTTAACCTTTCTGCACAGCCGTGCACGCCACTCAGGATCAGATTTTTTGTATGCAAATAAATATTATTATTATTATTATTATTAAGCCGGCCAGCCGCTGTTGCTCGCCTTCCAAAATGGCGACTCCAACAGCTCTGGCTGATCGGTCTGTGATGTCAGCACTCCTTCCTGAAGACGTTTCCCCTCGGGTGTACTACAAACGTCGCGCAAGTGGAAATGTCCTGTCGAGCTAGTCAAGGCAGTGTGTTTTGAACGTTTATTCCTGGATACGGCGGCAGTACCAAGAAAAAAATGTGGTGGGAGTCATCAACCTGACTGCCGCCGCAACGGGGATCAGTGTTAGCTCGGTCTACGAGATCAAGCGTGGCTTCAAACGTGCCAACGGAGCTGTGAAATCTCCTTCAAAGAAGCGCCCGAAATTCGCCGAGAAAAGGAAGAGGATTTCAAATCACGACGCGTGCACTTTGACGGCCGTGAGAGCCTGCACAATTTCTTCCGTCGGGGGGAGATCCTAACGTTGAAGAAAATCGCCACTCGTCTCCAAGAAGACGAAGTGCTGCCGTCCTGTTCCGGGTCTACCCTGTATCGCCTGCTGAAGGACATGGGTTTCGAGAAACAGAAATGGAATCGCAACTCCTTCCTGATTGAGAGAGAGGACATCGTCGAGTCGAGGCGGCGGTATTTGAGGGAAATCAGAAAGCACAGAGTCCAGAACCGCAAGATCTACTTCCAGGAAGGGGGTGAACACCGGCCTCACAGTTGACAAGGTGTGGACTGACAGCACCATAAAGTCAGCAAGGCAAGCCTTCATGTCTGGACTGACGACCGGGCTAAAGGTTTCTTCTGGAAAAGGTGAAAGAGTGATTGTCACCCACGCAGGTAGTGACACTGGCTTCGTGTCCGGCTGCCTGGACGTGTTCCGTGGGAAGAAGAAGGGGGACTACCACGATGAAATGGACTCGAACAGGTTTGAAGCATGGTTTCTTCATCTGCTGGACCACATCAAGCCTAACAGCGTACTTGTTATAGACAACGCGTTATACCACAGCAGAAAGGCTGAAGCTGTTCCCACAACTGCAACAAAGAAGGGCGAGATGCAGCAGTGGCTCTCTTCCAGGAACCTAGACTGGACTGCCACAATGAAGAAAGAAGACCTTCTGAGCATCGTGGCAACGGTTAAGGATCGCTACACAAAGTACAAAGTTGACGTCATGGCTACGGACGCCGGACACGGTGTTGAGGTTCCCACCGTACCATTGCGAACTAAATCCCATAGAGTTGATATGGGCACGAGTCAAGCGGGAGGTCGCCTCCAAGAACATCACATTCAAGCACAATGACGCCGAGCGGCTCTTGAGGGAAGCAGTGGACAACGTAACAGCTGTCCATTGGCATGACTGTGTAGAACACGTGAAAAAAATGGAGGCGAAGTTTCGAGAATGTGATGTCCCAGAGTCGAACCTCGAGCCAGTCCCTCGATGCAAGCGACATGGAGGAGGAGAGTGGAGACGACGACGAAACTGACGACGAGGATGAGGGTGAAGAGATCTCCGGTGTTCAGCCTTTAGAATGGAATTGACCGTGAACTAATGTCCCCCTAGGACATGTTCTCTTCTGAAAGTGGCTAGAACTTTGGACTCTGTTTGTCATACCTTAGAACACAGAGCGGCCCATTAAGGACCATTCACATACTGCAAAATCGGATTCCCGACTTCATACACGCCTAACTTTCAGTGTCATGTTGTTGTCGTGATTCTACCTTTCATTGCGTAATAGCCTTGTTCATGGCTTCTCGAGGTCTTTGAAATCAGCTGTATGTATCCCACTGTGTACAAAGATTCACACTACAAAAAAAAATTGCAGTTGTACTGCACTCGCTAATTTGCCCATTACAGCAGAGGTGTCAGGCGCCATTTTGCCCTTTTGCATTCTAAACATATATGCATACAATTACACTTTAAGGGTCGTTTTCATTCAAGAAAGAAGACGTAGTGTTGGCGGCATGCCGAAAGTCGACCATTGTTCTGAAATGTGACCCTGAGCTTAACATTTCACTTGCTCACCTCGTGCATATTCAGTGTCGCTTACACCTCATTTTGAGGTCTATACATCATGTTCAGCCCAGTCTTTCATTGAGATAGCTCCTTTATTGCAGTGATCAGTTCCCCAGGCGGTTTGTGGGAAAGTAAGCTCACAAACTGCCATCCACATGCCTTGGGGTCGCTCTGGCAATAAACGTATCTCTCATCCACCATGCTGTTTCAGATTATAATCGGGATTCTTATCGCCATCCTCACACAGGGCCTCTCTGGCAACAAGCAGAAGCTTTGATGGGATCCTGGAAGGACATATCTCACATCAACCACGCTGTTTCTGCTTATAACCAGGATTTGTACCACCACGGAACTTAAGAAAACGAAATTAAAGAATAAAAATTTAAATTCATCGCGACACACAAGGAAACCGATTGCCCACTCAATACATGCACATGAACGTCAACGCAATAACGTAAACAAATGTATATTAGGACAGAATAAACTATGCAAACATAGGTTCGTGGGTGGTAGCAGGTCTGATCAATCCCAGTTTATCAAGTTTGCGGCGATGTCGATGATGTCAGCTGATCTTTTTGCTTTAGCGCTCCATGATTGCCGTTAAAAACTGTAAATGCGCTAAAACTGGCCCATACTGATTTTTTCTCTCATAGTGTTTTTAGAAAGCCGACGGTATAAACAATGTTAGATAGACAAAGATATGTTTATTGAAGACAGTTTAAAGAAGCGATGCAAAATTGTGCAGAGCATAAGCATGTTTATCAGAAACAAACACTATTTAACGAGGTATGTTCTAGCTTTTTGCCACTAGAGGATGCTGCAGTGCTAAATTCGTTTTGATTTCGGTCTCTAATTGTGGATCCCACCACCTCCCGACGGAGAGTGGTGAAGTCTACGCGATATCGCGGCATTTCATTGGTGGAAACCCAGAACACTCCGCCACCAGCCGGACTTGTTTTACTTCGGTTCTTAAGGTGAAAACGAGTATAGTTACACGTGGAGCAGGTGCTGGCGTCTGCAGTCATATAACTGATTCAAAGAAAGAATCTACTTTGCTTTCAAACAGTTTTATCCTATGTTGATTATTTACTTCTAATTACTTATATAGAATAGATGAGCGCCTGCTGTGCATGCACCTAGTAATGTTTTTTGAGAAAATCTTGTTTTTTAGCCCGTGTAAATAAATTAGGCATTGCGGGAAAATAAAACTCTGAGAATGGAACGCCAGCAGTTGGAATAGAGCGCGAAAATTTGAGAGACGCACGTCAACTGGATCAAAAGATTAAATCGAAACCCCACCCCTGCCCGTTTCGATCTGGATGAGCATCGTACCGGCGTGCGGTCGTGTATCACTACTGCGTGATGCACGTTAAAGACCCCAGGCTAGCGGTTGTACCGCACTGGCTAAATTTCTCATCTACAGCTGGGAGACTCGTCGCCCCTATGAGGCAGACCAAGTTCTAGGCTGTATAAACACACACACAACCCAATTATTATTATTAAATCGAAAGAAGAAGTTTCTCGAAGAACGACGTCCGCCTGAGCCTAACATTGTCAAAACAAGAACTTACGTTGTGGACACTTTTAGGATTTGTTGAATTGAAAAGAAAACTTGTCAGCAAAAACAAAACAGTAATCTTTTTTTTTTGCCATTTGTATTTTACTTATATAGGTGTCACATACGTCCACAACGTTAGTTCTATTTGTTTTGACAATATTAGACGTAGGTGGACGTCGTCTGATACACTGCACAATGACGGAACAACTGTCATTACGGAACGTGGGAATCTGAAAGTTCAGGTATAATCAGAAATGCTGCCAGCGTAAGCTTGTTTGTACCTTTGGCTTGAGCTACCGCTGCACGAGTATACTATTGCAGCTGACCTGCAATCGAACACAAAAGAGCTGGCGCTTGTATCCGTAATTGTGCAGGGATTTCACAGCTTGCAACAGCGGTCAAACTTTCGAAAGGGTCCATTGAGCTTGCCACAAGCACTGTTCGTAGCTTGAGCATTACATGCCACCCCTGTTTTATGTTTTACACTCCCCTTCACTGAAGGAATATTTCTTCCGGACGTCCATTTCCGCTACCAAATAAGATGACATGATCAAGTAAGGAGAAGCCCAAAAGATTACTCCTAGAGAAAAAAGGGAAAAAAAAGACACAAATGGTTGTTGTTTATTATGCCCTAGTTCTATAGAGTGACAAATAGAAACAACTAACACCAATAAACCTTAAAGGGGCTGTGCAACGACATTGGGTAGGAATATTTCTTACTTTACACATGCTTCCTGGCACTAGTGGGAACCAAGAATACTCGAACGCAACACCACTGACCAAAAAGCGTCTTCGCCGCGGCGGAATTCAAAGGATGAAAGCGGAGCTTTTCTTTCAGTCTCTCCTTCCAAAGCTGCCTTTTGCTCCTTTCCAAAATTTGATGACGGAGCTGTGGGGACAGTGCCAACAGTACGATCCCCGCGAATGCGTCATCAAGCGTTGCGGTGACGATATTCAAATGCTGCTCACACAGTGGACGCGAAGACTGCGTACGCATTCGATCTGGGCTCGTGACAATCGTTGCCTCAACACGCATTCGGGTAATGGCCCGTGTCCAATCGCTGCAATGGCGGTAATAGCCGAGCCATAACAATATCTGGAACTCAGAGCGTGTCCTGTGCTTCGCCAACCCCAGCGCGTGGCTATGATCAACATTGACGGCATATAATGGGCTCCAGATCACGTGGCCGCATGTACTGGCTGCGAGTTCAGGGGGTGAACGGTGCTCGTTTTTCTTTAATTATTTTCTGGATCTTTTATTGCGTGGGGTGAAAAACAAACGCGTGTTTCATAGGTCATTAACGTCATGGATCCGTTTTAAGCGGTATTTGCGCAAAGCACAAAAACTGCTGCATCGCCCCTTTTAGCAAAGGACACAATCAATCTCCGCTCCTGTTCGTTTCGATCAGGATGAGCGTCGTACCGGTGTGCGGTCGTGTATTTCTACTCCGTGGTGCATGTTAAAGACCCCAAGCTAGCGGTTGTACTGCACTGGCTATATTTCTCGTCTGCAGCTGAGAGACAAGTTGCCAGTTGAAGCAGACTATCTCCCAGGCAGTATACATATAAACACTCACACACAAACAAAATGAAGCACGCACGCAAAGGTATCTTTGGCAAGCTTGCTGTCTCTCGGTGCTTTTAAAGTAAGCACGAGCAACTGTAAGCCTGCCAAAGATGCATTCGTGTTCGTGATTCATTTCCTTGATGTCAGTGTTAGTTTTTTCTATTAGTCACTCTCGTTAAACTTGGGCATGAGCATAGCGATTCCGCAACTGCCCAGAGCGGCAGTGCAACCGGGAGCTCGCGCCATTGCTTCGAAGCATGCTCTATCATTGTCATCATCGTAAACTTTAATATTTAAAAGTGAAAGGACCTTGCTATGGTAACCTCGCGGTCCCCGGCCGGTGCCCTTAGCCCAGGGCTCCATTTTCCGCCCAGGTTCAGTAGGCACGCTCGACCAGTCGCTGCTGGTCACCGAGCTCTGTGCCGGATGGGGCCGCTTTTCAGGAGGAAAAGGTGGGGGAAGGAATGGGGTTTACAGCCTCATCGGGGGCTGGGCGCATACCCAGATGGAGTGGTACACGTTGGTACAACCTGTATCAGGAGCGGTATACCGTGACCGCGGTAGGCAGCGACGCTATTCTAAAGGCCCATAAACAGTTGCGTTTGAAAGCGTTTGGGTGTGTTTGACTGCGTTGTGGCTGCGAAGAGCCAGAACATCCCTGCTTCGTATTTCGCGCGCCAAGCTACTCTTTAAATTAAATTCCACGCTTCATACGAAGCATAGATGTGCCGCTGACTCGCTTCCGTTTCTTGTCACAGCGCAGTCAAACGCAGTAAAAAGCAACTGTGTATGGGCATTTAAAGACCCTATTATGCGTCACATTAATTCTTACTGTTTGTCAGATTCGGGTTTCAGAAGCGCTTACAAGCGTCGATCTTTTCCCGGTGCCATCAAGGAGCACGACCGCACTCACTGATGTAACGCATAAAACCAAAATATTTGTTTGTAGGTAGGTAGGTATATATTTGGAGCTCGTAAAGTACTAAGATACTGAACAAAAACTACTTTCATCAATTATTTAAACGGTTCGCTCTCCTTATAGTTTGTATTTTGATTAAAAAAGCTTCTAGTGGCTCTGACTAGTCGTAAGGCAGAAGCTGACCAGGACCGACAACGTCACGATATCGTCACATGCCGCGCGCGTTCGGTACAACTGGGCGC